ACGTGTCATGACGCATTCAGGCCACGTGTCCTGACGCGAGTTTGAACCCAGTTTTTACCCATTACAAAAAAAGTGTACAAAGGCGCTAAAGAAGTTTCCACTTCAAAAAATATGCTTCCATCTTGGCAATTCTTTGAAAGTCAGTGTCTCATTACAAAATTCCCCATAAAAAGTAAGTATGACGTAATCAAAAGTTAGTATGGAGTTCCAAAAATGAAAAAAGAGCTTTGATTAAAAAAATACTGATGACAAACAAGTGAAGTCTGCAATTTCTCCTGTTCATTATTTATAATAATCTTCCTTGGTTGTACGCAATGAATACAGTGGCAGTCATATCTTCCTACTATTCTGCTGAAAGCTGTTGGAGTTCACTCCCTAAGAATTGATTTGCATATATAAGGGGCCCGGTATGAGAAAATATGAGGAGTAAAATCTATCGATGAATGACCTCGTTACGTTTTTGGTGCGCATCCTATGACGCGCAACTTTGACAAACAAAGATGACGGATTGACATAATAAAATTTTTAAAATCTAAACTGAATTTAGATATTGTTTCTGATAGAGCAATGGGGACAACGAGGTATGGTACAATCATTGATGCGGTATTTTCAAGATTCGTGAACGATGTATCTACGAATGTCCATGTGTCTTATTTTAGTTACCATAAACCACTTGTCACTGTAATTAATAATGCAGACAATGTTGATTTAATTAATATTAAAAAAAATGATAAGTCTGATAATAATAATTACATAACTTATCAACATTCCTAATGATATATTTATGCACATCTGAAATTGACTATTGTAAAAAGTTTAATGTAAAATATTTCGTCGATTAGTTATAATAAATGTATATGAAATTAATAAATATATATATTTATATATGTATATTATTTTCATTAATTTGTTAATTTACCCTTTCATACAGTATCAATCTTTTTTAAGTTAAATAAACTCTTTTTGCGTCTGGTTAGACTATCGAAGTTAAGGAGTAAACTCCAGTCGTGCATCGGAGCTGACACACAGATATTTTTTTTTCTGTTACCTACTATTGTTCATTGGTGGTGATCACCAAAATTCAGATACATTTGCAATACCATATCATTTTTAGTTACTAATAAGATCAATGAAACCTCAGATTACAGAACAAAAAAAAGGCAGATGGAACACACGGAACACGCAAGTATGGCCACCAAACCAATTACGAAGTCAAAAGTAAAGATTTTTTTTCTTTGTTTCGTTTAACAGTTTTACAATGTTATAGTAATATAAGTTATTTACGGGATTGTTACCATATACCTTGATTTTAGCGAGTTTCCGATATTTCGGCACTGTTGCAAGCGCCATGATCATGGAATAATTGTTATATCATGTTACTCCGTGAATATGACGCTTGCAACAATGGCGAAATATTGGAAACTCGCTAGAAACAAGGTACATGGTAACGATCCCGTAAATAAATTATATTACTATAATGTTAGTGACCATGAAAGTTTAAAACCAGGTTTTACAATGCTTGAACAAGGCGGCAGTTTTGATAAAAATTTAATATACATGTCACATATTCACAACACCATGTGTTGTAGTGTACTGACACAATTTGAGATACGCTTTTGACTTGATATCCGCTTTTGTGGCACACAATCTGTGTACCGTGCACTCCATCTGCCTTTAGTTCTATAAGCTGAAAATTAAACATTTAACTCATCAAGTGACTGAGAAGGAGCAAAGTTCTTTATTGTTCTTAGGTAGAAAATTGCACACATAGTTAATTGTTAAAATAACAATATTTCAAATGAATTGTTAATAATGGTATTTATTTACTGACCTTACAAACTGCAGCTTTTGCTGTCAATGGCAGTGCTTTCACCCCAGGGCCAGGTTGAGCAGCAGCCATCTTGTTTTCTAGATTGCCTTTATAAATTCATTGGACCTGAAACAAAAAGCAACATTCATGTAAGTTTTAATAGCATTGTACACTATGTAAGGTGATATAAATATAAAATAAAATAAAGAACATTATACTGAAGGAGTTAAATGCTTGACATAATATCAAATAAGAAATTAGTATGATCTCTTGACTAAGGATAAGAAGACAAGATTTAGAAAACAATCTAGTTGACACAACAGCAGTGATCCTACCCATTGCTTTGTAGAATTTGGGTTCGAATCCTGGTATAAACATTTGATTATTTACCACAAATTTGTGCTCCACTCATTAATATTTATTTACTTTCATATTTTGTCAAATAAGTATTCAAATTTCAGGCTGCACTTTTATTTTAAATTGTTTAGTAAACAAAATATCATTTTATTGACATGATTTCCTAAAAACTTAAAGAGTAGGCACTTAAGCACCTTCAAAGATTCAGATTGATTATTGGTATGCAACATTTTTACTGAGGCTGTGATTAGATGTGATTCCATGCAAAGTTATTTTTTATCGTTTATGTAACAGAATATTTGTAATCAATACTTTGAACAATAAGAGCTTTTGCCCATTCCATGCATTAAACAGGAAAACATAAATAAAGTTGTGTTTACATTCGAAAAACATTCACAATTTACCCACATTTTTTAATGAACTTGAAGCAAAAGAGGCATAACACTTCAATGAAGATGGCCTCAACAACATTTTCACGTAAAACGGGCGAATTATTCAAAAAAAGTTGACTTTAAGTTATGTAAATAAACCCATTTTATTTTCAAAAAAGCGACTTGAATTTCGTCTTTGACAGTGACTTTAATAGTTTTAATTTCCTTTTTTGTGTTTTTTAACATTTTCTTTTTTTTAAGGAAGGCAAAGAGAATAGAGCACATACAGCTTAGTCCTCAGTTTTCTTTGTTCTTTTTTACATTAGAATGCGAGTGTGACGCATTCTAATGTTTCTTGGAGTGATTGACACGAAATGTATGGAGTCAGGTACCTCGATAAGCTTCTGTGAGGTAGATAAAGTTCCCACGTCCACTTGACCGGGGTAGCGTATAAATTATATTTAAAGATTCCACTAATTCTTTAGTTGTGCAGACGATTGTAATACAAAATTACACCAATTTTATTTCGAAATATCTGTTAAAACTGTTAAAAGCTTATTTTATGCTCGGGTTGGACGATGTTAGAACTGTTAAAACCTTATTACAAAGAATATTGATTTTATTTATTATGAACTATGTGATAAGTTGATTGAAGGTTGCACGTTTTTTTGATTATATATTTTCGGCATATTAATTAACCAGTTACATTTAGTGTGCATAAATGGAATAAACAGTTTTTTCTCAATAAAAAACGTATTTAATCAGCCTATTTTTGTTGTAATTAGCATTCGAAGGCAGATAGGCTAAAAATCACTGAAACATGATTAAAGCATAAAAAATATTTTATCTACTTTTCATCACTGTTGTCGATTCTAGCATGATTCTCTCTAAACCTAAACTTAAATTTGACAGCAGTATATCCTTGTCATTCTCTATACAGAATGAAAAGGAGAGAATGATCTTAAATTTAGTTTTAAGTTTAGAGAATCACGCCAGAATTGGCACCATTCTTATGGTAAATTAAACTTAAATCATCATCATCATCATCAGCCTATTAATGTCCCCACTGCTGGGGTACAGGCCTTCCCTATGGATGGAATAGGGATATAATTTCAAATTAAATTTAATTAAAATTCCTGTAAAACTAACTCTAGCATGTCGAATTTTATAATAATTTCGGTTTCACCACTAAGATTTAAAATGTATGCTATAAATAGTAGTTGGAAAATCCCAAGATCTAGGGTACTTTTTAATAGATGGTATTTCGACTGATCAAAAAGCTTATTTAGTTTGAACATGCATTGAAACCATATTTATGCGATCCAAGCAGATTATCGGAATTTTCGAAACAAATAATATTTTATTGCATTAACATAAATTTATATTGCAGGTTTTGTTGTCAGCTAACTGAAAAAAGAATTAAAATGTCTTGAATATAAGTCAGTTTCGGGTATAACAAAATTTAAAAAAAAAAAATGGTTGCCTGTAAAGTCGGTTTTACGGGCGAAGATTTTACGTGACAACGTCTTTTTCTCGGTAGAATATTTATTGATATGAATATAATTAAATTGCACAATAGGAACAAGGAATTGAATGAAAATAAGAATTGCACAAATTTTAACTATAGAAATATATTTTGTTTACTAAAAATGGTTGCCTGTAAAGTCGGTTTTACGGGCGAAGATTTTACGTGACAACGTCTTTTTCTCGGTAGAATATTTATTGATATGAATATAATTAAATTGCACAATAGGAACAAGGAATTGAATGAAAATAAGAATTGCACAAATTTTAACTATAGAAATATATTTTGTTTACTAAAACATTGTACATGTAAACTTAAACTTAACACGAGAGACTCATCGTAACGTTACCGAGCGTTACACTTTTTCATAAGTGACTCCCAGCCGCAACCTAATTTAAGACGTTGTCACGTCAAAACATTGTACATGTAAACTTAAACTTAACACGAGAGACTCATCGTAACGTTACCGAGCGTTACACTTTTTCATAAGTGACTCCCAGCCGCAACCTAATTTAAGACGTTGTCACGTCAAAAAACGGGTGAAAACGAAAGATATTCCGTCATTCTAGGGATATTGGTGTTAAAAACTATTTTCATGTTCTTTTTTAAGGGTGCCTTGAAAGAATCTAGGCTAGCTAACCATTACATCCATGTCCTTAACAGAGCCAACACAGCAGACAAAATTTAATTTCTTCTTTACAAAACTAGATCTTGCATCCTTTGCCTTCCTTAAAAGCAAAATTAGAATGACAAGCTGTCAGTTTGACAACTGACAGTCGGATGGCGAATTGGCGAAGCCTATCCGGCAGAATTTCATGATTTACTCCTATAATCTAGCAATTCTTTGTATATAATTTAATCTAATTAAGCAATTGTTCATGTAGTTATACTTATATAAGTGTTATTACTTAAGATTCTATTTAAAACAACGTCAAAAATGGATTTACATCGACCTGTCGATCCAAACAAGGTATCTATATACTTAATAGCCTGATTTTTAATTTTTGTATGCTTTGACTACATGTAGGTAAAGAGACATTACGAACAAATAGTTAAACATAAATTTCTTTGCCCTTAGACTTATGAGGAGTTGACTTCCGAAGAAAAGTTGAGGTAAGTTTGTAGTCCCCAATGATGACCTTATTGGTTATGTAGAGACTGTTTGCAGTATCTATTAACTAGGCTTAATCATTTTTATTAATTTCCTTATATAAATGTTTACTGCTCACTACTCATATCATAGAATGAAAAAGATTTGGTGATTTTTATCTTACACATAGCTTAGGTATTGCTATGACAAGATAATTTTGAGTTATAAGTATCACAAGAGGTCTTTATATTGAAGAAGTTCAATAACACTGACAGTCTGTAGCATTTTTGTACTTGAAATATGGAGTGATTCATATATTCATCAATATGTAGTGATGCTCACTATAGTAGACCATTGTGTAAATTTATTGTAGAAATAGAAAATTGATTTCCTTATCATAACTTTGCCACACGATTCTGCCCTCGCTAGTGTTGGTTATTACACGTGTTAAAGGGATATCTATTCTTATTAGTGAATTTAGTTTCCTTTCTACGTGGAATTACGAAACTAACAAGTGTTTACTATATATACTAACAACAGGTGTTTGGTAAGTCCCGTTAAACTTATGTTTTCCTGTCCTATCCATTGATTACATAGCAATCAATGGATAGGACCCCTCCTGAACCCCCGGACCCTCCGGACCGGCCTCCCACACCGCTTCCATCAATGGAACTTTCCCCGCCGGTATTCACTCAGTCTAGTCTTAAACGACGTAACGATACGGAACCTGAAGAAGTGATGAATGCACCTTGTAAAAGAGCTATTACTGATGTGAGTCAGTCGGACACGCCGCCGCCCTCTCCCGGATTATATATCCATCCATCTTTAAATCACACAAATAAGCAGTATCTAGATAGTGATAAAGGACCTTTTCTTGTACATGTTTCGAAAATTGAGACGGATTCTACAACTGGTATATCAATTCATCCTCTAAAATTTGGCCAACTTCTAGTAAAAAACAAAGTTAAAAATATAATAAATGATGGCATTAAAAAAGTAGGCCGTAACAGAATCTCAGTGGAGTTTAAAACTAACATAGATGCAAACCATTTCTTAAAAAACCCTTTTCTACACATTCACAAATATACAGCAGTTATCCCCAATTACAATATTACACGCATGGGAATTGTTAAAGGGGTTCCATCTGACTTATCAATGAATGAGTTAGTGGAATCTTTAGTTGCACCTATAAGCTGTGGCATAGTGCTAAAGGCAAGACGCTTAAATAGAAAGACAATCTCAGAAGGTCAAGTAACCTGGGTTCCAACCCAAACAGTGGTTATCACTTTCCAAGGCCAGGTCCTTCCTAATAGAGTGTTTGTATATCATACATCACTGCCTGTAGAGACTTACCAACTTCCAACTATACAATGTCTAAACTGTTGTAGGTTTGGACATATTAAAACTCAATGCCGTTCTAAGCCACGCTGCTTCCGCTGTGCTCAATCTCACTCTGGAGCATCCTGCAATGTAGAGGAGGCTAAAGCTACCTGCCTGTTTTGCTCAGGCTATCACTTTGCATGTAACAAAAATTGCCCTGAGCAGTCCCGCCAAAGATCAATTAAAATATTAATGTCACAGGATAATATATCATACCAGGAAGCATCAGGAAGATTCCCCTCTGTCAGAAGATCCTATGCGGATGTTTCTCAATCTCCGAGCCTTCCCCAGTCCATGTATGCCTCTCATTCTCTAACACCCTCGGGCAAGTCCATGACAACCACAACCTCCCATAAAAAAACTTTAATTCAGTCCCCTAAACCTAGGGCTCCATTAAATCCAGGATATGATAGAAGGGCTCACCAGGCCATCACCCAAAATTGCCCATCTTCACTTCCAAACGGCTGTGCACTCAGCAGTGACAATTCACCAATCCCCATGGAGACCACCCCTAATGACAACTTGTTAGAAGTCCTCTTATCCTTCGTGTTTAGCCTGTTAAATAGATTTGATGATATTCCTGTACCGTCCAACGTCGCACAAAGAATCAACCAACTCAACAATCTTATTTCCAATAATAAAAATGGCGAAGATAATTCAATGGAACTGTAGTAGTATCTCTAATAAAACGTCTGAACTATATTACCTCATTAATAAATTCTCTCCATCCATTCTTGCTTTGTCGGAGACATGGCTGGTGCCCGGAGCTGCTTATGGCTTATCTGGGTACTCATGTCTCCGGGAAGACAGGAGTGACGGCTATGGTGGGAGTGCACTGCTAGTCAGTTACTCCCTCCCCTTTAGTAAAATTGATCTTCCAACTCACAGCGATTGTATAAATGCAGTGGCTGTAAATATTTTAAACACATCTTATCTTTCAATATATATAAGACCTCAATCTTCACACAATATTGTCATTCAAGAATTAAATTCCATTATCCTTTCACTCCCGCCTCCTGTAGTTCTTATGGGAGACTTTAATGCACACCATGTCTCATGGGGTGCTCATGCAAATGATTCACTTGGTTCCCAACTTCTGAGCCTACTAGATGAAAGAGACCTTTGTATAATTAACGATGGGAGTCCCACCAGAAGGACTCGCCCAGACCAGCATCCATCTGCTGTAGACATTACAGTTTGCACCCCTTCTTTGGCATCCAACCTTTCCTGGAATGTATTAAAAAGCACACATGGCAGCGATCACTTTCCGATTTTCATCTCCATCTTGGACAATTTCCCCCCTGCCAGTCGCCCTACCCCCTTGCTTCAATTCAGACTACATAAAGCAGATTGGAATGCCTATTCTAGGTCACTTGATAACAAAGCGGACACACTACCCGCAATTTCGACAGAAAACTGCCTCAAGGCATATGAAGTGCTGGTCGATTCGTTGATGGATGCGGCTCATAGTAATATCCCCAAAAAACAAAACAAAAGAAAAAGAGTCGTACCTCCATGGTGGGACTTTGAATGCTCAGAAGCGGTTAGAAGACGAAAAGAAGCGGAAAAAACATATAATGGTTCCATGACAATGGACAACTTTGTGGCATACCAGCGAGTTGCGGCTCAAACCAAAAAGGTTCTTAAACAAAAGAAAAAATCCGGTTGGACCAAATTTTGTGAAACTTTAACTCCTTGTACCTCTTCAACAATAGTTTGGAATCAATTAAAAAGGTTCCGCAAAGCCGGCAATCGCGCCAATTTGACCGCTAACGACCCTTCCAACTGGATTGATCTGTTTGCCGACAGATTGGCTCCTCCCACTGTTCCAAATTGGGATTACCTCCCAGTTAGGACCAGCATTATTCTATCTCCTACAGACTCACTTGGTGGATCCTTCTCTTTTGATGAACTCGAAAAAGCCCTTTCTGGTTTGAAGGATACATCCCCAGGCCTTGATGGGATTCCATACTCGTTTTTGATAAGAGCCACAGACAAAATAAAATATTACTATCTCAAACTAATAAACACTTTCTATGACAATGGTATAATCCCTGAACAATGGTCCAAACAGATTATTATACCACTATTAAAGCCAGGCAAAAGCCCTTCCGATCACTCCTCTTACCGCCCCATTGCACTCTCGTCTGTTCTACTAAAAGTTGTAGAACATATGATAAAAAATCGCCTTGAGTGGATTGTAGAAAACCGTAATATACTAGCTAAATCTCAATTCGGGTTTAGGAAAGGATATAGTACACTAGACAGTCTTGCCGTACTTACATCAGACATCCGATTAGCATATGAAAATAAAGAATACCTTGTAGGGGTGTTCTTAGACGTAGCGTCCGCATATGATAATGTCCTAATTCCAGTGCTCAGGCAGAAAATGCAACAGCTGAGCATTCCCGAGAAATTGGTTCTTTTCATATGTAATTCAATCTCGTCTAGATCCATCCTGATAAAGTCACAAAACCTTTCATTAGTTAGGACAGTGTGGAAAGGGCTACCACAAGGTTCGCCCCTTAGTCCGATCCTGTATAGCATATACACATATGACATGGAACTTTCCACAAACTCTTTTTGCCAAACCCTACAGTACGCAGACGATTTAGCTCTTTACGTTCGAGTAAAATCTATTTCGGAAGCTACATCACGACTGAATTCTGCATTATTTTATCTCGGCGAATGGCTGGAGCATCACGGGCTATCCATCTCCACCCCAAAATGTAGCGCGGTTGTCTTCACCAGGAAGCGAAATGTATCAGTTCCGATCATTGAATTCCAAGACTCTCATATTGAGGTTAAAGACTCGGTTAAGTTCTTAGGAATGATATTGGACTCCAGATTAACAGGTGTCCCTCATTTCAATAATGTCGCTAATAAAGCAGAAAAGAGTGTCAATGTCCTGCGAGCGCTTTCTGGCGTTTGGTGGGGTGCACACCCAGAAACTCAAAAGCTGATTTATAACGCCATTATCCGCAGTCATTTCGATTACGGTTCCTTCCTTCTTGATCCCTGCAATAAAGCGGCACTGGATAAAATGGACAAAATCCAGTCGAAATGTTTACGCATTATTGTAGGCGCAATGAAGTCTTCCCCTATTAATGCCCTCCAAATAGAAGGTGCGGACCCTCCACTTTTTCTCCGTAGACAGTATCTCAGTGATAGATTTTTCCTCAAAATTTTACAAAATAATTCGCACCCACTTCTAGGCATACTACATAAGTTGTCTCAAGCATTAAATACTAACCCAAATTCTAGACACAAATTACCGTGTATAATATCCAGTTATTCGAAATTCTGCCGTCCTTCCATAGATATCGAAAAATACCCAGGTAATCCCTTGTTTTTAAACAGTTTCGAATCTTTAGTATTCAACCCACCAGTCGTTCTCAATGTAGGTATAGAAAAACACTCTCTTAGCGCAAACCAAGTCTTTAACGAGACTATTGCCAAAAACTGGCCCTATTGGCTTCAGGTATATACAGACGCGTCAAAAACCACAGACACTGGTAGTGTAGGGGCTGCCGTATGGATACCTAGGTTTAGAGTCATTTTAGGATTCAAAATTCCTCCACCCTCATCTGTTTTTACAGGCGAAGCCATCGCAATTTTAGAGGCGATTCTATATTGTGAATCACACAATCTCAATAAAACCATTATTCTGTCCGACGCACTAAGCTGCCTCCAGGCAATATCCGCCAACCCGTTCCGGACCAAATCTCGCTATCCAATAATTCTTAAGATTAGAGAAGCCCTATTTAGATGCAAGTTAAAAGGTATAGAACTGATAGTGGGTTGGATCCCAGGTCATAGTGGAATACAGGGTAATGAGTCAGCAGATTCATGTGCCCGAAATGCAATATCCACAGGTTCTCCTGAATATTCACAACTCGCATATCACGATCTTCTTCCTGTTACTCGATCCCATCTGCTACAGTCATGGGAAAGAAATTGGGAAAATACTAGAAACAGTACTGGTAGACACTATTTCGACATCCAACCAACTATCCCAGCTAAGCCATGGTATTTCAAACAAAAAAATGTTCCCAAGCAGATTGTGTCAGTCCTGTGTCGTCTTCGCCTAGGCCACTCATGTACTCCGGTACATCTGAAGAAAATTAAGGTTAGAGATAACTCTCTCTGTGAATGTGGTATAGACGAAGGAACAGTGGAACACTTGTTATTCGACTGTCCCAAACTTCGATATTCCTTATATGATGCCCTTCCACATGATGTACCTCGACCTTTAAATGTTAAAAACGTCCTAAAATTGGTTAACTCACCCTTACTAAAAATAATTATTAAATTTATACAATGTAACAAATTAAAACTATAATTAGACACGCTTTCAACCTCCACTAAAATGTTAATTCTGTGTATTGTGATGTTTTGTGTTTTGTCGTGCATGCCATAAAATGTGTTGTGTTTTGTTACAGGGTCGTTAAATCAACATAGGAAGTGACAGAATTTTTAAAATAGTATTTTCAACTTCTCTAATTTAAAATTAATTTTATTAAGAATCCCTTGTCGTGTAGTGGCTATCTACGTGAAATTGGCAGAATTGTGGGTATATCCCCGTTGAGCCATTAAAAAAAGAAAAAAGAAAACTTTGCCACACAGTCGCCATAAACGCAAACCTCTCTTCTACTTTTAAATATAATTTATTCTTGTTTCATATATATTCAGACAAAATGTGTAAATAGTAATGGATACTACTGACAATTTAATGTGAAAAACCACAAGAAAATTTGAATATTAGTTTCTTTTAGTTAAAGTTCAAAAAGCTTAAGAAAGTTAATTTAAGCTGACCTTTTTTTTTCTTTTTTTTTTTTGTTGGGAATAAAAAAAAGAAAAAAAGAAGTATTTCTAACTTAATAAGATAAGAAGAAGAAATTCCGCCGACCCGCCCAGCCAGACTGCCTGGCTCGGCAGCTGCTCGGGATGAGGGGGGGCCCTACCCCCTAAAAACCCAACAGTGTTCCCTCGTCTGCCAAAACGGGTTTTGTGGGATCTGGATGACGCTCCACGTTACCCCAGCAGGGATTCCTCCTCCTCTTGATGGTCAGGAGGATGCCCGGGAGCACCTAGGTATCCCCCCTCGTCGGGTGAGACTGTGTAATGCGAGCGACGGACCACCCTGTCCGCCGCCCGCAGTCCCACTAGGGTGGAAAGAGGCGGTTGTAGTGCCGCCGCCTTCCCCTCGGTCGTCGGTGACGGAGAGGGCCGGCCCGGGCGTCCCCCTGGCGGGCCCTCTCCGCCGTCTCCTTCCATATGACGACTTCCTCACAGAAGGAGACGACCGTGTTCCAGGATCTGTCGCTGTCCAGCATCGCTTTAACAACACTGGGCAACGAGAGATCCCTAATTTAAGCTGACACCTAAGATTTAGTTGATATGTAGTTGCTAAATCAATGTTTAAAATAAAAAGGTTTGAGGGAAGGAGCATTATTTACTTCCCAAATAAATGATTTAAATGAACATACAAGATTGAAATGGCAGAGTCATTATATTTAGTTATTCCTACCATTGGGTGGGTTTTGACTGTAGCTTACAAAAACCCTGCAGAAGCCCAAGCATGAACTTTGACAGCTTCTAAAATCATATCGCATCATGAACCCTTCCATACAAAATTTGTTGATGATAGATTTGTCAAAGTTCAATACAATTACTGATATTTCAAACTTCACGCTTGGGTCACTGATCCCTACTGCTCCTTGTAAAAAAATTGCAGTCAATTGAATGAAAAATATTTGCTTATTTAAAATGTCCTCTGTAGATATGATCATCAAAAGCTCCATGAGATGCACAAAGGCCATGAGTCAATGCACACTACAATGGTTCTTATCCTCATAGGAACATTGGTGGTTGCTCAAATAGTTGTAGTGGAATGGAAGAAAAGACATTATAGGTCATACTCGGTAAGTTTTCCAAAGTAATACCTATTTAACGAGTTAGCAAGTTTTGGTGAATTTTATATTAGTTCTAATGGAGGAGCTGGCAAAGAAAACAGTATAATTACACATCTGGTTAAACTACTTTTTTTACAGTCCGGAGGTGAAACCTCCGCCCGTTCAATTTGAATCTCAAATAATTTTCAATCAAAACCACCTAAAACAGTGTTAAGTTTCCTAAATTTAAAAATTAAAAACCATGCCAAAAGCTCACTGGAGGTGTGTCATTCTGTTTTATACAGCTCCTGTAAAATTTATACTGGAACTTATTAAGTAAACCCAATCCTACATCTCTTATCTATTAGACAAGTCCGTCCGTCCGTCCATCTGTCTGTGGTGCTGTTTCAGCGGCCAAACCGTAAGAGATAGATAAAGAGAATGTTGAAGTTATAAGTTAAGAAGAGTCTGATAAGACTACAAACCGGATTTGAGAAACTTAGCACTTCCGGTTTTGGAGAAATCACGAATTTCAAACGAAACCACACAAAATCTCCAGAATTCTCAATTAATTTAATACATTTTTTTTTTTGGTGAACATTTGGTTCATTGGTTTGCTAGTATATTATAAACTACGGCACACGGCATTGTCTGCATTGACTTTAGTTTTTTGAGAATCCCTCCGACATCTAACATTTTTACAGGATAAAAAGTATCGTCTTATATATGTATATCCTCAGGACCTGGAATGAGGTCCTATCTATATGCACAGGCGGCTGCTAGTCATATTATAAAGGACATGGTAAAATTTTGTATGAGCGACTGCCCTAGCAATGTATAAATATTGTACTAAGTAATACATAATAATAATATTTATTTTCTCTCCACAATCTTATACATGCTTCATGAGTGAGTGAGACTGGTGACCAAACTAAGCTGACGCCTGTGATACATAATCCAGAATGGCTGAATATTTTTAATTTCTATGAAAAAGGGCTCTGGAACTTTTGATAAAGTCACAATCTTTAAAATTATGAGATCTCCTACGATTACCTTGCTACATTTGATAAAAGATGTTGCCAATTATTTACAGAGGCATCAATTTCGCATTTTCTTAGAATATTTCCTCCCATTTATTTGATTAACACTTCATAAAAAGTATTTTTAAAAGTAAATATAAATTCAATGTAATAATGGTGGATTATTAACCACTAAGTGGTTAATAATCCACCATTATTAGACACTAACTTTCATAACGCGCCCGCGGCCAACTTCATGGTGTTACTATTGTGTTACAGTGATGCGCGCGCATCTCGAAATTTCACTCACATGATTTTTTCATAACGCGCCCGCGGCCAACTTCATGCTGTTACTTTTGGGTTACAGTGATGAGCGCGCATCTAAAAATTTCACTCTCATAATTTTTTCATAACGCGCCTAAAGAAGTATAACTTCAAAAATATTAGAAAGTTATGGGCTAGTGCAAAATAATAATACACTTTTAGGGCAGTTTCTTAGCCATGTCCTTTGCAAGTTCCTATGTTTGTAATTTGATCATGCTGAAACAGCTCAACCGAATTGTATGTCAGGGAAAAAGTTGGGCTCAGCTTTCCAACCCTTAATTCAGAACCGACTTGGTCAACCCCGACACGCCGTGGTCTTGGTCTGCCCTACCCCTAGAGTGTTTTTTAGAGCTCGGAGGCGCGGAGGGGCTGCTATTCCCGCAGCGCCGGAGATAAGGCAGAAGTACTGGTTCTTACTTCCCTAGTCCTTGCATCATAAAAAAATAATGAATTTTTAGGTTAGGTTAATTAAAGAAAAAAAACATGACTTTCCGTCTAAAATCTTTAGTAGGGGGGAAGTCGGGGAGACTCCCCCCTCCTCCCCACATCAAAATTACCCCGAAATTCCACCACAACTAATGGAATTTAGTACCAAAAGTTGTACTTTTCATGTGTTTTATTCACTTTAATATAAAAAAACTAGTATAAAAATATATAATATCTTATTAATTTTTACTTTACTATAGCACAAAATGTATTCTGTTGCAGTTCTTCACAATGGTTGCGATGTGGTCTATACCAGTGCTGATGAGTCTTAAAAACCACTGGTTTAGGTTTATAACTGTGTGGACAATATTTACGCTACTCACAGCTCTAGTCATTAGAAAGTCCACAAGAAGACCAATGTCGGTGACAACACCACGGTAAGTGTAGAAAACTAAAACATCAGTCATCATGAACTATAATAATGATAGAAATCAGAAATCAATATATCTTTATTCAAATTGGATGTATAGTACAACTCTTTTGAATCGTCCAAAAATTTTTTTCCCTACCACTCGTTATGGACATATTTTTTAGCTGCGGAGAAAAACGAGCGAAAAAATCTCCACAACATTAAAAGTCTAATGTAACAACATTTACAAATCATTATGTTGTTACAACGTCAATACAATTATGATTTATTTAATATAGAAAACCTGTTGGAATGATTGGAACAGTTCAAACCCAAGCATTTTTGTCTGTAATATAATCAGACATTTTGTAATAATAAGCTTTTTTATTAAGTGTTTTTTTTATAATATCTTTAAATTTATTTATGGCTAACTCTTGGATATTGCTTGGGACTTTATTATATAAGCGAACACAAAGACCTTTAAATGAATTATTAATTTTGTGAAGCCTAGGCAGGTAAAGTTAGTTTATTTTTGTTTCTTGTATTAATTGTGTGAACATCACTGTTTTTAAGAAACAAATTAATATTTTTTCTTACAAGTAATAAATTTTTGTATATGTATTGTGATGCGACCGTCATTATTCCAAATTCTTTAAACTTATCTCTTAACGATCCTTTAACTTTAAGATTATAAATTGATCGAATACTCTTCTGCAGCACAAAAATAGTTTGAATGTCGGCGGCATTTCCCCACAATAAAATTCCGTTCGACATAGTAATTAATATATTGAGTTTTAGCTACAAAATAAGTAAACTTTGAATGATGAGTATATAAATGTTATGTTCATAATATCAACAATGAAGATTAATCCTAAAAATTAATGTCTGTAAAAATAATTTACGTTTGTAAATTTAACTTTACGTTGGTAAATAATATTACTTTGGAGTTGAAAAGTAAAGCAATCACAGTAAAGTACTAATCTCGTGACTTACATTTTTTTAAAATTTATTTTAGTCTTCTATTTCTTCTTCTTTTTAATGGCTTAACGGGGATTTACCCACAATTCCGCCAATTTCACGTGGATAGTCACTACACGACAGGGATTCTTAATAAACTTAATTTTGAAACAAGAGGTTAAAAATACTTTGTTGAAGTTATTGTCACTTCCTATGTTGATTTAACGTCCCTGTAATAAAACACGACACATTTTATGGCATTCACGACAAAACACAATATTAACATCACAATACACAGAATCAACATTTTAGTTAAGGTTAAAAACATGGTTAATTATAATTTTAATTTATTACATTGTATAAATTTCATTGTTATTTTTAGTAGGGGTAGGTTAACCAATTGTAGGATGTTTTTAGCATTTAAGGGTAATTTAAGGGAGTATCTAAGTTTGGGACAATCAAATAATAAGTGTTCTGCTGTTCCTTCGTCTATACCACACTCACATAGAGAGCATGAGTGTACATGGGTTTTTAGTCCATAATCATCATCATCATCAGCCTATTAATGTCCCCACTGCTGGGGCACAGGCCTTCCCTATGGATGGAATAGGGAGATTGGGCCATGACCCACCACGCGGGCCCAGTGCGGATTGGTGGGTGCTAACGACTGCAAATGCAGCCGGGACCAACGGCTTAACGTGCCTTCCGAAGCACGGAGGAGCCCGAGATAGTAAATTTTTGGTCACCCATCCAATGACCGACCACTGCGAAAGTTGCTTAACTTCAACGATCGCAGCCGAACACGCTAGCCACCTGCGCCATCGAGCTCCTCCATTGCCATTATACTTTTTGATATTACAATAACTCATGTAAATGTACTATATTGCCATACAGATTGGTGTACAAATGGTTCTACCTCATATACAAGCTAAGTTGCGTGTTCGGAGTGTTCGGCTACATCGTGATGATGCTCACGTTCCTCGGCCTGAATCTGGCATTTGGTCAGAAGCCTCAGCCCTGGATGGACGTCGCATTAATGTGCTTGTTCTATGGACTGTACTTCGGTGTGCTCGGGCGGGATGTGGCGGAGTATTGCGCGGATAAAATGGCCGCTTCTATAGGGGTGAGTGCGATAAATATCATTCAAATTAAAATTGCCTTTGAACTGCCTGATCTATGAACAGATGAAAATGGCCTCTTTGTTGCACAGATAAAGTGTGATATATCAATTAAAACTAGTTTTTCACGGGTTAATGCACGAAACTTTATTTGTTTATTGACGTTTCGCAGCCTTTACAAGCTGCGTCGCGTCGTCGGAATAATTTTTTTATTTAATTTTGTCGAGCAACCTTCGAAAGACTTTTATTGAGCTGTAAAGGCTGCGAAATGTCAATAAATAAATAAAGTTTCGTGCATTAACCCGTGAAAAACTAGTTTTATTTAATGAGTGATGTGCGTGAAAACCAAAGAAACAAATATATGATATATCAGCCAAATAAATACAATAGCCTATAACATCTTTGTTGATTGCATTTGACATAACCATAGAATTCCTTACTGCATTGTGAAAGATAGCAATAAGGAATTCTATGATTAAAGTAGATAGTGGAAATAGTTGTGAAGATAGCTGACGCGAATGCAGAAGGTGTGCCGCTTTTATAAAGTTAAAGATATGTCTCTTTGAATCAGGCGTTGCAAGTGAATATTGTGTTTTTTTATGCAAAAAGGGTTACAATTTGACAAACTACACTTGGCCTGCCTGATGGTAAGCAGCAGCCATAGTGTATATAACGCAGTCATCTGGTTGAATCGGCTATTTGATTGAATGACTAGCGCTTTCATTGAATGACGACATTTAATTGAATGACTAAAGTACGACTCGTCAAGATGTTTAATGTAACGTTCAACGACTTGACTGAACTTCATTTAGCATCTCTTATCTATTAGACAAGTCCGTCCGTCTGTTTGTCTGTGGTGCTGTTTCAGCGGCCAAACCGTAAGAGATAGATAAAGAGAATATTTAAGTTATAAGTTAAGAATAGTCTGATAAGACTACAAACCGGATTTGAGTAACGTAGCAGTTCCGGTTTTCGAGAAATCACGAATTTCAAAGGAAACCACACAAAATCTCCGAAGTTCTCAATTAATTAAATACATGTTTTTTTTTAAATCAGGTTTTGGTGAACATTTGGTTCACTGGTTTGTTAGTAGTCGTTTAATGGGATATAGCCGACATTGTAATTATGTAAGTTAAAGAAAAATACCATTATATTTACGACAGATTCGTGATAAGTGTGTTAGGTTAGTGTTGTGACCTGAGCTTAGCGCGAGCCGAGCGAGCGAAGCGAGCGTGCCGCGGTAGCGGCCGGCGAAGCGCCAGCCACCTGATAGATAGATAGATAAATAAATAGGTATTTGTAGGTTATTTTCTTTTTCTTTCTTCCTGCTGTTTGACGCCATATTTGTTTTGATGACTACTAGCGCCGCAGTGGGAACAAAATTACAATCACCTGACTGATTTTACATCCGCTCCGTTCAAAGGGCTATGGTACAATCAGCTAACTAGTTAGTCCATTATGCTACCACGGCCCTAAGCATAATGGTCAGTGCATTCGCCCGGATTGCGAAGGGTGCGGGTTCGAGTCCCGTCCGCTGCCTGGTCCGCGTGGATTTTTTTCTAGTAAACTTTTCTTTAGATTTAAACATCTAGCAGTTAAATGCTTAAAAATATATAAAAAACATAACTAGTTAGTCGTTGAGTGACGCTTGTTCAATCAACGTTCGGCCTAGTCATTCAATTTTTTTTTTTTTTAATAAATATTTCTAACACTCACACCAATTAGCCTAGCCCCAAAGTAAGCACTGTAAGGCTTGTGTTAGGGGATACTAGGGTAACGGATAGAATACATATATTGTACATATATAAGAATATTTATATAGAAATACATATTAAACATCCATGACTGGAGTACAAATGCTCGTATTCATCACACAAACATCTGCCCCCACCGGGATTTGAACCCGGGACCTCTCGAGTAGGCGACACCATGAAACCCGGCGTATAAACCACTCGGCCACGGAGGTCGTCAAATTAAATGTCGTCATTCAATCAAATAGCAGATTCAACCAGATGACGGCGACATAAGTAGATAGACGATATCGATACGAAAAAAAAAAAAAAAGTTTATTACGTTACCACATTTGTTGTACACCAAACCAGGGTGGGTTCCTTCTATTAAGTGTTTAACACCTGTACCAGAAGGAACCACTCTTCCATAACATCATTAACATATCTTATGGTAAGGTCTTAATTTCATTGGATTTTTAAAACATTATAAAAAACTAGCAAACCATTGAACCAAATGTTCACCAAAACCTGATTTCTCGAAAACCGGAAGTGCTACGTTACTCAAATCCGGTTTGTAGTCTTATCAGACTATTCTTAACTTATAACTTAAATATTCTCTTTATCTATCTCTTACGGTTTGGCCGCTGAAACAGCACCACGGACAGACGGACTCGTCTAATAGATAAGAGATTAAATTAGAATTTATATAAGCGGTTGAGTGTGTGCCTGTATGCGTGTGCATGTGTGTGTGCGTGTTCGTGTGTATGCATGTGCGTTAGTGTGACGAATGTACATGAGTATGTGTGTACAAATGCTCTTTTTCAGGGCCGGATTTAAGATTGTGGGGCCCCCGGGCCACTTAGGATGTGTATTCTTGTTAACCCATCGAAATGTTGTTATTTCTTAAGCTGTTGTGGAGCCCCCTGGGCCACAGCCCCACCTGCCCTGCCTTAAATTCGGCCCTGTGGGCAAGTACCACCCCACTCAGCCATTAAGCGATTGGGGTACTCCCTCAAGATGGGTAGTGAATTGGAAGTGCTTATCAGGGCCATTTGAGATTTTGATATTTCACTGATTGCCTGATTGGAGTGAACAAATATAGATCAATGATTTCTGTTATTTAAGATTAATATAATCAAATAATCATGTATGTTAGATGTACAAAGTACTGTAGGCTGTAGGTAAAGGTAAGAGAGCAAAAAAATATCAAAGGAAAAGATGTTTACTAGTGTTTACTAGTTGGAATTTGAATGTTTTTTTTTCCGAAGTCTCTATTGTGGAGGCCCCGGGGTTTTCGCCCCGGTTGCCCTTCCCTAAATCCGGCATCCGGTTTTATCCGCTAGCAAGTGAGCTACGCTACGAGAGTATCACTCGCGCCCGCCGTTGCCTACTCTGGGTACGGCCAGAGTGCACTCAGATTCAGATTCAGATTCCGAAAACAAGCGCGAGAAATAAACAGTGTAGTCTAAGCAGGTTGCCTGCTTTTTCTCGCGTTTTGTTTTCTGATGCTATCATCTAACCCGTGGAGCTGTGGCACTTTAATCCAGGGCTTGTTTACCGGTTAATTTTCAAACCTAAATCAGTGTCAAGTATATTAGGAGCGTTTTATTTAGGTTTGGCTCTACCTTAACTTTCAAAAAACCGGTTTTCTAAAAAGCGAAATCAAATAGTTTTTGAATCAATTTAGCGGTTTGAAAGGGTTTCATTTCGCTCTTACTGACGGCATCGATAATAAATGAACAACTTGACTCACAAGACGCTAGCAAACGTGTCAAAAAATGCATCAATCTCTGAGCATTAAAAAGTTGTGACTTGATTAGTTCAAACAAAACAAACTTCAAGCGATGCCGACGCGTGCACGTGTCGCTCTGGATTAAACCTTATTAAGGTTTTAGGTACCGCTTTCATTACGGACGCGCTCCGAACGAAACCTTTACTAAAAACCGGTATTAATCTTTATTTACCGGTATATTCAAAACCGGTTTCAAGCCCTGTTTAAAACATTACAAAAAAATAAATTAGAATTTATATAAGCGGTTGAGTGTGTGTCTGTATGTGTGTGTGCGTGTTCGTGTGTGTGCATGTGCGTGAGTGTGACGAGTGTACGTGAGTATGTGTGTATAAATGCTCTTTTTATCCGCTAGTAAGTAAGCTACGCTACGAGAGTATCACTCGCGCCCGCCGTTGCCTACTCTGATTCTATCTTCTTACCCGTGGAGCTTTAATCTTTAACTAAGTTAAACAAACTTCATAGCGATGTCGCTCTGGATTAAACCGGTTTATTAAGGTTTTAGGTACCGCTTTCATTACGGACGCGCTCCGAACGAAACCTTTACTAAAACCGGTATTAGCTTTTATTTACCGGTATTAGCCTTTATTTACCGATATTAGCCTTTATTTACCGATATTAGCCTTAATTTACCGGTATTTTCGAAACCGGTTTCAAGCCCTGCTTTAATCAACGACAGAAACACAACACCAAAAGGTAGTGTTATTTCACCGTTCAAGAATTTTCTGTAATGTAGAATTGTGGAGGTTACTACCTCAGATGGGGGCTTTCATTCAAACGGAAAAATCTGCAATGTCCTCAAACAAATCTCTAAATTATTTTCATATTTAGGTTGTGTTTTATTTCGTTTTCAGTATTATACTAAAGAAGGCATGCCCACGAGGCAACTAGAGACCAATGTTTGTGCCGTCTGCGGCAACCAGCTGCTAGTCGCTGTCAATGAAGAGGGAGTTATAGGTAAGTTGTACAAAGTTAGGTATTTGTTTTTACAAGCTTTTATTTAACTTGCAATGTATGTTTGTTCGGGTGGAATCTTAAAACTCAATTTTAAGACACTTGCCCTCAACCGATTGAGCTGAAATTTGGTATGCACGTTCAGTTCGGATGAAAACGCATGATTAACAGTGTGAGGTCATTCTAAATCCAACATGGCGTCATATCCAAAATGGCGGACCAATCATTTTTAATGCATTCCTACACTATGGGTATCAAAGTAAAGGGCTTGTTGAGAATAACTCGAAAAAAAATAAGGTAAAAAGCCTTTTTCACCCCATAGAATCCATCAGTTTTCATCTTGTTATAAACTCTGTCCTAAACAATATGGGGACGTTATAATTTTTATTATTTTTAAAGCTTGTAACTGCTTGATGTTTAAATCTAAAGAAAATATAACTAGAAAAAATTCCACGCGGACCAGGCAGCAGACGGGACTCGAACCCGCACCCTTCGCAATCCGGGCGAATGCATGCAATAGGCAACCCACAATGTCAAATGAATACTTTTACAAGTATTAAACATTTGAAAGAAGAAATAGCAATTATAGTTATAATTTTTATTATTTTTAAAGCATGTAATTGCTTGATGTTTAAATCTAAAGAAAATCGTCTGCTGCCTGGTCCGCGTGGATTTTTTTCTATTTATATTTTTTCCGGTCTCTTTCTGTGTTCTGTGATTTGTATTACTAGTCCTAAATGAATTCTTTTGTTCCGACTCACAATTTATCAGAGAACACGTATAAGCTGACTTGCGGCCACGTTTTCCACGAGTTCTGCATACGCGGCTGGTGCATTGTGGGCAAGAAACAAACGTGCCCCTACTGCAAGGATAAGGTCGACCTCAAGAGGATGTTCACTAACCCGTATCCTTTGCCAAAGTTACCGTTCTATTTGCTATTTTTTTAATTTATGCGTTTAACTGCTAGATGTATTAATCTAAATATTTTATTACTATAGTCTGTCCATTATATTATTATCTTTTTGACACATCGATCGAAGTAAAAATAGTGACACCCTATCATTTTCCATTTAAAGTTATAATCGATTTTATGCTAGAACATTGTTTAATCGATTATAAGTATCGAAATTATTTTAGTTATCAAAAATACTGGTGTTTAATAAATTATTATTACAAAATTTCATTAGATTACCTAGTATTATTTTACCTAGTACAAATATTTGTGTGATGAGCACGAGTATTTGTTCTGTGTCGGTGTGATTTATCTATATTATGTATATATACACAACAAAAAAAGAAGTATACTTTTTATATGTTTGTTTATCCTGATACTACTACTAATGCTCTGTACAATTACATTAATTGATTATCTCTTATCTATTAGACAAGTCCGTCCGTCCGTCTGTCTGTGGTGCTGTTTCAGCGGCCAAACCGTAAGAGATAGATAAAGAGAATGTTTAAGTTATAAGTTAAGAATAGTCTGATAAGACTACAAACCGGTTTTGAGTAACGTAGCACTTCCGGTTTTCGAGAAATCACGAATTTCAAACGAAACCACACAGAATCTCCGAAGTTCTCAATTAATTAAATACATTTTTTTTTTAAATCAGGTTTTGGTGAACATTTGGTTCACTGGTTTGCTAGTAATTAATAATTTCATTTTAAAAAAAAAATATAAAAAACTATATCTTTGACTTTTTTTCCTTACAATTTGGTTGTACTCATTTATTACTGCCGATTATTTGTAATCTGTGGCACAATCTTAGTAATCATTATGTGTGGCACAGCACTAAGTGGGCGGTACCCGTCCATGAGGTACAATATTATTTGTATGACATTTTAACGTAAACAATACAAAATTTCATGGGCGTCGATCTGTCAAAAAGATAATAATAGAATGGACAGACTATAGTCTAACACGAGTGTCTATGGAATTCGGACAAACGGCTAAGTGTAAATGAAAGTGATATATGCCCGGATTCGTTTCGTTCCAACTAGAATATTAAATTAAATATTATTAAATATTGCCAACACTCACACCAATTAGCCTAGCCCCAAGCTAAGCACTATAAGGCTTGTGTTATGGGAAACTAGGGTAACGGATGGAATACATATACTGTACACATATAAGTATATTTATATAGAAATACATATTAAACATCCATGACTGGAGTACAAATGCTCGTGTTCATCACACAAACATCTGCCCCCACCGGGATTCGAACCCGGGACCTCTGGAGTCGGCGACACCATGAAACCCGGCGTACAAACCACTCGGCCAAGGAGGTCATCAAATTATGCCTGAACCGTGAATTTTTTTCTTGTAAAATTTTCTTTTGATTTACCGATTTTAATACCAATGTGTCCCAATCAAGAAGTTCTTGAACACTTCTCAAGCACTTCTTGGTTCACAGTCACGTGCGGACCGTCAAAAAGTCAAGAATAATAAATGTATGCACCTAATAAATGTTTGTTAATTTAACGCATTTGAAACAAATTTTGTCCTTATATTTACTTTAAACTGAAATTTTTTTATGCATATTCAGTAGGTCTGAGAATCGGACAACATCTATTTTTCATCCCCCTAAATGTTAAGGAAAATTAATTTTTAAGTTTTTTTTTAAGTTAATTTTTTTTAGACCATATTTTTTGTTTTCATTTTTTTATGATACATCATACAAAAATACATACAACCCTAAATTTTCACCCTTCTACCACCAACCCCTATTTATTAATGGCGGTAGGAAGTTCGCTGGGCCAGCTAGGATTTAAATAAGATAAACGATTTTTGTTATAATTTGGTATATAACGCGATTCAAATAAGAATAGGAAAGCCAATGACCTCTATCTGTCAAATGTGGCTTGAAAAGTACGGTTAGCAAAAAAAAAATCTTGGAAACCCTTTTTTAGCACTCCGCTAATTCAACAATAAAAAACAAACATTTGTAAACGAACATTATATTTAATTAAAATCGGTTGATATTTTTTTTTCACTTATTGAGCTTTGGCCATGAATGGTTGATAACCTAAATCGCCAACCAAATGTCACTTTAAGTTGCGTTCAGGAACTCGATTTCAAACTTTCGTTTACGTAAAGGATGCATGTTCGTATGTGACCTAGTAGTAGTGCATGATTATTCATAATTACTCCGGCGGTAATGCAGAGATGAGCGGAATAGATGAGCTAGATTCTGATTAATATTTTTTCTCACAGTCTTAATAAATAAATATTGTTAAAAATCGTTGCTTTTTTTTTACTCAATCTTAATAAATAAATGTTATTAAAAAATCTGAAGGTTTTTCGGACTCAATCTTAGGCCGTATACAGAAAGTAAGCCGAAAGCCGATCGGCGCCGATCAGCGCCGATCGGCGCTTATCGGCGCCTATTGGTGCTGATCCTTTTTCTATGGACCGGCGCCGATCAGCGCCGATCACGCGCTGGTCCGAATAATAAATAATTTGTATTTGAATTATTATCCTTAGATTAAATCAATCTAAGTTATAATCTTTTTATAAATCTAATATCTTTATCTTTTATTAACTAAGCGCTAAAATTATTTGTTTCGTACTTACCGAATGGTGACAACAAGTCTTTCTTCTGGTAGGATTAGTTGTTTATGCCAATTGCACCAATTTTTCATCAAACGGTTTTTCATTAAATCCAAAATGTAATAAAATGTTTCTTGAATCATTCTTGTATATGTATAAAATCTTTGTTCATCAAATTTCAATTTTTTTACAAATAAATGATGGTATTCTCCGAAACGTTTCCTTTCTCTATTTATAGGATGTAAAGCATTTTTTCGCATTTTTAAATACACATTTTCTAACATAACCAGATCATCGTCCGATGAGTCCGACATTTTGCTTGATCTACTTTAATCGGCTTCCTTTATGTAGGAAGGATCGGCGCCGATCGGCTTTCGGCTTCCTTTCTGTATACGGCCTTAGTAAATAAGTTTTATTAAATAAAATCTTTTTTTGCTCACTCTACCTATTTGGTTTGAACCTTACAGTTATGACATCACAATATGGCGCCCAGTCGGTCCTATTCTCAGTTGAATCGCATTATATTTGATATTTCTTGGTTCTAAGATTTCCTTTTAACTCGCTCACAGTTGGGATCGACCCCAAATGTTATTCGGGCAATTGCTGGACTGGATAAGGTGGTTGGTTGCGTGGCAACCTCTCGTATTGTTTTTAGCTCAAGGCATCAATTGGATATTCGGTCTCGAGTGAAAACGTGGAGTCTGGACTTTATGATACATATGGATGGACTTTATATAACATAGAGACCTACCGTTTATGGTACAAACGTGCACGGAAACGACTGAATTGTTGTTATTATCATTTTGATTAGCATTTAAATACACGTGTCTGGATTGAGGTTGTGATATCCACAATGGAGACTTTTACGATCAAAATGCTCTAATAGGATTTTTTTCTTTACCTTGTCTTGCCCATAGACCATAGAGAATGGAGTAACTAACTGTGAAGTAAAACTGGGCATAGTGTGAGGGAGATGAAGCAATAGGTTTATCCCATAGACATAAGGCTTTGAATACACCAACTCCCGTTATCGGCCAAACTATGCACGGCCGTATTAGACTGGCGAGTATGGCCATTGCGATATGATATATGATGGTACTTTGACAATATAGCGTGATAAAATCTTGATATGGTCTATCTTTATTTTATATACAGGAAATTTGAAGTTTCCTGAGTTTTAGTCATACAGGGCCCGATTTTGACACGATTCTCTAAACTTAAAACAAAGGACACCCGGCATTTTGTGCCAAAGTTGTATACTTTTTTATTTTTTTTATCTGTGTTTCATAATTGGGTAACGTAGTCTGGCAATATTTGTCATCAGCAGCTAGCTGTCAATGTCAAATACGTAGGTTTGTCATCAAAAGGGTTTCTATGTCAAAAAATATTAATCATTAAATAACTTCTTTCCACGATTCACTAAAAATAAGGCAAAAGTAGTTTAATGTAGTAAATAATTTTGGCTTTATTTTGAGACCAAATTCAACTGTATACAAGTTTAGCATTTTTTCTATGAAAAGTGCCGGGTCTCCTTTGACAACATTTGCACCTTTTCATTCTGTATAGACAATGATACACGATACACTGTAGTGTAGTCAAACCTATTAGCCTGCACTAAAATTAAAATATTTTTGCAATATGTCGACCGAGGAATCAATCACTAACCCTGATAATTACAGTTTTCACTAGTTTCTGGGTTAGGGGTCCATTTCTTTAGACTTTTATATAAATACCCGTAGACTTTATTAGCTTAATACCTTAAATGTAAAATGTTGAGGGTTATGAATAAATGATTATTATTATTATTACTGTTGTCAAATTTAATTTTAGGTTTAGAGAATCATGCCAGAGTGTCAGAAGCGACACCAGTTTATTACTAGTTTTAAGTAGCTTTCAAAGATGTAATGAAGCTGAGTTATCATTTATTTTGTTGGTTAGGGTATTTGACAAGTTTTAGAAAACGATCTCACGTTATTAACTAATGTTTATAGGGTCCATAAAAAGTGGATATTCATCATTATGTTGTGTATTTCGGTAAAAAAACCAAATCAAAAACTCTATTTTCATGTTGCCGTGAAAAACTTATCTCTGGACAATATGGCGTCTTACAGGTGTGTGACGTCACACGACTGTCGTTAAAACGTTAAACCATACAATCAAATGTCACTTTAACCGGAAGTTTACTTGCGTGTGACGTCATTTTAGGCTCCACCAATCCCAAGCGTTTTGGGTGACGTGACAATAGACAAGGAAACTATTAACTTTATCGTGGGTTTTTAGTAAAATTATGAATATTTTTTCTGTAAGAATAGTAAAAACTCCTGCCAATATTCATTCTAAATACAGATGCTAACAATTGGCACTTTATTTTTAATACTGTCAAATACCCTATTGCGAATGAGCTGTCGTTCCATCTTTATTTGTTGAGTGGGTTTGTCAAACGTGTATTTATTTGACTATTTAAAATTCTTAGGTTGTTTGAACGAATTTTGGTAAATTTAATAACAAGATCCTCGATTTTACTATTGAATATGTCCTGTCAGAGTATTATATTCTAACTGTTTGACTGATGCCTCAGTATACGGTTTTTAAAATCATTACTACCTATGTCTTTGTATTGGAATTTATTTTTATAAATGAGCTCAGATTTAGAATATGTTTAGGTCCACTTGCAACAAAGTTCCTGAATCAATTTTAAAAGATAATCATTTTTAAGCGTAATTCTTTCTTTCTCTATCTGACTTTAAACTAATGACAAAAATGGAGTGATATGTTAAACAGGCCGAAACACACTTATGAAACGCAACGCCACGCGTGTTGTCAAATCAAAATGTACTATTATCTATGATCAGAATCACATTATGTATAACTGTAAATGCCTACAGCATTTAAAGTTAAGTCGATTTTTCAGGCCTTTTTTCAAGATGGGTTACTTGAAAATTGCTGTAAAATAAAACATTTTCTTGTTATATAATTATTTGTAACTATGTTTTTAGAACTACAAAGATTGTACGTTCAACATAATATATTTAGTATGCTGAACTTAATACTTTATGTAAAACTGTTTCTTTATTAAAATTATAGCTTTTATTTTATGCCAAGGTTGAGTCTAAATAGCTGGACTCAATACAATATACAAAAACAAACGCATCACATAAGATACAATAGAAGTTTAATACCTAATAAAATACAGATTGTTTTTCAGTACCTATTTCTTTTTGATGTCGACCTAACTGAGTATTCATTTTTGATCGGGGTCCTGGATTCCTTTACACGTAAAAAGTTTTAAGTTTTGTGCACTATGGTAGTTTTTAAGCATTTCCTTTTCTTTTTAAACTATAAATTATTTTAGTCATTAAACATGTTGTTGTTCATGTGATAAAGTTTAGAAAAAATATTAAGTAAGTAAGTTTAATGACACGTGTAAGATACTTAGTTCATCAATAGCATAAGTACCGCGTGTATAAAGTATTTTAAACGCAAAACGCAATATTGAGATAGGAATGATGTGGAATGAAAATATGTGTGTATTTGACCATTTTTATACAAGCTAGAACAAACCATTCACTCCACCTGATGTGAAGTGTAATAATAATAATAGGGTATTTGACATGTTTTAGAAAACGATCTCACGTTATTGACTAATGTTTATGGAGTCCGTAAAAAGTGGATATTCATCATTCTGTTGTGTATTTCAGTAAAAATAACCAAATCGAAAACTCCATTTTCAAGTTGCCGCGAAAACGTTTCTCTGGACAATATGGCGTCTTACTAGCGTGTGACGTCACACGACTGTTATTAAAACGTCAAACAATACAATGTAATGTCACTTTAACCGGGAGTTTACTTGCGAGTGATGTCATTTTAGGCTCCGCCAATCCCAAGCGTTTTGGGTCACGTGACAATAGATAAGAAAACTATTCTTTTTCGTGGGTTTTTAGTAAAATTATGAATTTTTTTTTGGTAAAAATAGTAAAAACTCCTGCCATTATTCATTCTAAACACAGATGCTAACAATTGGCACTTTATTTTTTAATACTGTGAAATACCCTATTCTATGTACATAGTTGTTTTGAAGCTTCATGTTGACACTTCACATGGCTATTCGTATAAGTCGCGGCACGAAACTCTACCGCTGAGCGTTATTGCACAGAAGTAAAAATTAAGATGTCTTGGGGGGAAACGAGGTGCGCGGGCGGATGTAAATTATTTTTGTTCATTAATATATTTTATTTTCTCAATTTATTTAGTAAAATTTTAAAATTTATTATTTTGGTAGGACGTTAATTTTTTTTTATATTAAGGTAGGCAAATGACTTTACCCCACCTGATGCTAAGTGGTAATAAAGTCCAAACGCGAAGATAGCTGGTACAGCAGTTATAAACTGCTACACCAATCATCCTCACCTTGCCGGCCTGCAAAAATGCTTCTTCACGCCTCTCTTAAAGGACCCCAGATTATAGGAAGGAGGGAACACTTGCGCGGGTAAAGAATTCCACTTACGAATAGTACGACAAAGAAATGAGTCACCAAATTTCTTTGTTCGTGTAGGAATAGTGGCCACAGTAAGTCGGTGGCAACGTAGGCCAGCGCGCGTTGGTATTATGATTTCTAGTTATGGTAGAAGAAGTAAAATTTTGCTGTAGTGACAATTTAGTGTCATAAATTATACAAAATATTAAGGCTTTTAAAACAGTATCTTATATATAAAATTCTCGTGTCACAATGTTAGTTACCATACTCCTCCGAAACTGCCTGAGCGTTTTTTATGAAATTTTATCGGCATATTCCGTGGGTCTGAGAATCGGCTACTATCTATTTTTGATATCCTTAAGTGATAATGGTTGTCCACCTGTAACGCAGTGTTAACGGAAACCTACAATGCGCCAAAATTCAAAGTATTGGATATTGTAACGTAGTGTTCTCATATGGGTTAGGAGGAATGTTATCCCAGGAAATTGATAGAACACTACGTTATACACCCCTAGTTTTTTTTTGACAATTGTTTTATAATATGGTAAAAAAAAATACATACAACCGTAAATGTTCTCTTCTACCACCTGCCCCTATTTTTATGGCGGCACGAAGTTCGCTGGGTCGGCTAGTTTTGTTATAAAATTATACAAAATATGTTGTTTAAGCATTTCGTAATATCACTTTTTCTTATTGGCTCTCCAGTCGTGCCCATGCGCAGCTATCGCCTCCGCGTTTTTGGAGTTTACTCCTTAAGAATCGATTTGCATATATAAGGGGCCCGGTATGAGAAAAATGTGAGGAGTAAAATCTATCGATGATTGACATTAATGACCTCGTTACGTTTTTCTGCGCAACCTCATTTGCGCACCTTTCACGTTTAGCCATTTCAACGGATAAAAAACATTAAGTTGTCACAAATGTCAATAAAATAAATAAACTAAAAATAGATAAAATCGGAGCAAAATTAATGAAAACAAATAAATAACAGAATATAGAGACATGCCGGTAAGTGTCCAGCACTCTGGAATAGTTATTTTCAGTACAGATGGAATTATAATACATATTTACAAAATGATGACATGTGTGTGTTATTTTTGAAATTGTGTGTTTCCAGAAATACATAATAAAATATATGATGAATATCGCTGATGTTAGATGATAAAATGTGTGACATGGAACCTATGATAGTCGAAACCATGGGACGATTCCTGAA